CCTACCTACGGCGGGATGTAACGTAAGAGCAACGTACACTGAAAAGAGAACCCAAGGGAGCGATGGGAGGACGGCACGCCGCCACCACACAGGGATTTTAAGGAGAGGAGTGTGGTGCTAGCCGTTCTTGTCAAAACGAAAAAGCATTTTTCTTGGAGCACTTGGAGTGCAGTCATCAACCTCACATCCAGGGCCGGGGAGCTGAGAAGCGCACCCAGCGAGCCGGATGATCGGCATCGGGCTACGGGCTAGAGAGCCCTGACCCCTAGCTAGGGGGGGTGCGCATTCGCAGGGCAAGGGCCTTAAAGTAAACACGGGTCTCCGAGGGTTAGCTCCGCGCTCCAGGTTTCCCCTAGCAGCAGAACGCCCCCTCTACTCGGAGCTAGAATACTCTCCGAGGGTTAGTTCCGTGTACCAGGTTTCCCCTTAACTGCAGAACGCCCCCTCTACTCGGAGCTAGTGATACGAGAATACGTACTGCCCCCACGCAGTACCAGTACTACTCGACGATACGCAGCTGCGAAGTACCTATAAAGAAACAGCGAGGTAAAGTTCGGCGGCTATGATAAACCGAAAGTTGTCGTAAAACGCGGGCGAAAGCAAAGCAGAGGGCGGCGCTTTTTGCCGCAGCGATGCCCGCAGCCTGTCGAGCAGCTTCCGCGGCGCCCATGCGCCGCGGGGTTGACCGACAGCCGCGCCTCTCGCGCCTCCCGTGCCACGCACGGCGACGCGCACCCTGCGCGCCAGTCGGCGCATTGGCAGTACTGCACCAGCCAGCACGGCGTGGAGCAATGCATCCAGGGCATTGTGCTGGGCGCCAACCAGCATGCCTCAGGACAGAGCAAGGGAGCATGCTGCGCACCCTGGCGCAGCGCCAGCTCGCCTCCAAACAGGCACTCTCACCACTGCACAGCCGCCCACGAGCGCCCGCAGCTGCACTGCTCAACACTGAAGCTCAGGAGCCTCCCCTTGTTGTCGCAGCTTTGTGCAGTGCAGCGTGCGAGCAGCGCAGCGCCAGGCCGACCCCTGGCACGCCCGGGCGGCTGTGGGACGGAGGCCCGCCGAGCGAGTGCGAGCCGCATCGGCGGCCATGTCTCCTGCCGCCGCGAGTGAGCGGCGCAAAGAGGCAGCGTATTTTTCTTTCTTCTTTGCACAACACTAAATAAATAAATAAAACAGACATCCCAAGCTAGGGCTGGGTCGAGGACAGACACGTCCCCACCTTTGCAGGATTTGCACAAAAAGAAAGAAAGAAAGAAAACAGAC